CCTATTACTTATAGAACCCCCTTAACTTGCAATAGAAGATTTTGTTTCTAGTAAATAGAAAATAATTTGAATCATTCGGCTCACTTTTAGCATGTCCGTCTGCGTGTCGTCCGATTGCGAGAGCATGGAACCCATCGCGTGCAACATTTGTGCGGGAAGCCAGAGAGAGTCGTCTTCTGGCTCGTAGGGCGATTGAAACCTGTCGTCCCGCAGCATTTTCTGAATTCGAAACATTAATTAACAACTCTTGTTACCTACAATGTATTCTATGAAAGAAAAAAATGCACGCAACATCACAAAAAAATTACAATAAAAATATACAAGAATCGTTAACATAATTGGATTTCTTTTCAAATGAAATGAAAATACTACAATATTCAAAATAGAATAAATTACACGTCGGGTGTGAAACGTCACAGGTCTCAGTTCGAACATTATAATTATCGGTCGCTTTATCGCGAAGTCCTTTCCGCGAGCGGATGCGTCAGTCACACGTATACGCGGCACATCGAAAGCGCGATACATATGGTTTTCAGGAATGAGAATTATTCAATAAGGAAACACTCACGTGTAATCCCAGCAAACCGAGGACGACGAACTTGTTCCTCTTCGTTTCGAGCGCTAGCTGAAACGTGTGTAGACATTTTCCACGCAGCTCGTGGGGCGGATCGCGTAGCAACCCCTGCTGCTTATCCAGAAAGTCTACAAAATCGCGTCAATCCGATTAATCCCTCAATAAAATGAACATATTTTTTAAGACAGTAACACGTAAATGCTTTCTCTTACACGGTATTCTAATTGACAGCTTAATCAAGGTGTGAAGTATAATTGCGCTGATTAGTCATTTTTAATTTAAAAGATGTATCTAATGATATTGTTCTATGGTGTAAAGTATGAAAAAAGGTTTAAGGTTTCGAGATCGACGTACCATAAGCTTCCTGCGCCGATTTACGCAAGTTTTGTAATTTTGCATTGCTCGATTCTCGGACGATCTGCAGCAGTAGATCCTCCATGTCACGGTGGACTAACACGCGACTGATCGATAGCGGGTGTTCCCGTGCACGCTTTTCTATACCCGCGCATCCAGGGCCGTAAAAACCGTTCCTGAGGCGGCACTCTCATTTTCCTCGACAATCGAGTTCTCGAAATCTTCATAATAATTGCAAAATTCAACTGTGGGGATGGAATATTAATACTGACGGTTTTTAATGGGGATGCTGTTCATTCAATTTTATAATCAATTTATTCTGATTAAACTATATACATAGAGTGAAATACTATTCGTAAATATTCGTATATGTTTCAAAATTGAATAATTTTTTTAACATTGGACTTGACGAATTCAGTGTTTTTTTAGGTG